AGTGTGTGCAACCTTAGAACGGTGAAAAGCAGGAAGAAGAACAAGGTGTGTTGTTGTATGCCTGTAACCTCAGGAGGCCGAGGTAGAGGGTCAGGAGGAAGAGGCCAGCCTGGGAAATGTAGTGAAACCGGCCTTAAAATCCAAAACACACAGAAACCCAATGAGGGGTTCATGGGGAATAATGTAGTTTATATTAAATAATCCACTGTTTATCAAATTTAGTGCACTCCTCACTTTTTCCACCATGGGTTTGAAGCAGGTCACCTGATACACACCTTGTTTTAAAGCACACTGTAAGGCATGTGACAAAGAGAAACAGAACAGGAAGCGATTGTGCTGAGAAAAGGGCACAGATAGAATACACAGCCCATCCTGATGCTCTTCTCCAAGGATTTAGCTCAGAAACCAACTCTGGCTGGGCTTGGGATCTGGTTCATTTGGTAGATTGCTTGTCTAGCATGCGTAGAACCCTGAGTTCAGTCCCAGAACAGCATAAGCCAGGGTTGGTAGCAACTGCTATAATCCCAACACTCATTCTTGGCTCCATAGTGAGGGAGAGGACGGCCTATACCACATGAGACCCTATATCAAAATCTCTCTCTCTTTCTTTCTTTCTTTCTTTCTTTCTTTCTTTCTTTCTTTCTTTCTCTCTCTCTCTCTCTCTCTCTCTCTCTCTCTCTCTCACACACACACACACACACACACATACACACCCACCCACCCACACAAGCACATACACAGACATGTGCACATACACGTATATGCACACACACAGAAAATTGACATATAAAGAAAACCAGAATTTATAAAAAATACATAATTAACCATGAGAGAAAATACTTTCTTTCAAAAGCAGTAGTTCCTAACATTAGTTTTAAAATTAAATTTCTCAAATGAAACTGTCGTAAATAGTATCTGTCCCAAGTAAAGTAACAGACTTTTCCTTTTTATCTTTCTTTCTTCGCCTCCCCAAAACTCCCCCTCCCCCCGCCGGAGACAGAGCTCTCTGTCTGCAGATCTGGCTGTCCTGAACTTGCTTTGTAGATCAGCTAGCCTCAGACTCACAGAGACCTGCCTGCCTCTGCCTCCCATGTGCTGGGATTAAAGGTGTGCGCCACCACTGCTGGGTGAGTAACGGGTTGCTAAGCTGTTTGTTGTATTGTCCATTGACAAGTGCTGGTTTATCAGTGAATCCTGGGAGACACCATGAAATGACCCAGATATAGTTGGCTAGCAGCTAAGCAAAGCACAGGCCTGAAATGAACAGGCTAAAAAGTTGTGTTGCGCAAGGTCCCTGTCCCTCTGACTTGGAAGATGTTTCTGCCCCTGGTTCTGGTTCAAGCTCTGCCTTGTTCTTTGCAAACTTTATGAATGATAGTTGGAGAGCTGGGGAGAACTTATTTTCAGTTACTATGTTTGAGATTTTGTTATCTTCTTTCTTTTTACTTTTAAAATCAGCATATAAAGGTTTAGAATTAGTGTTCCGGTTCTGTTTTAAAACAGGATCTTGTTAATGGAGCCCACACTGGCACCAAGCTGACAATCCCCCTGCTTCAGCTTCTTGTGTGATACCCCCACTTTGATCCCGGAGTACATGTTCTTAGGGCGCACGTGTGTGAAGTTTCCAAGTTGGAATGCCTGTCCGTTGAATGTATGGTACGGACTTGGAGAGGGAGGGGGAGGTAGAGTGGGATAGTAGCATTGCCCATGTACATCCCCTTTCTGATGGTTATACTTCCTAGTTTCTGAAGATAGGAGAGCAGGAGGAAGAGGAACATGATGGAATTCTGGGGACAAAATTTGGAGAACGTGGGACTTGTCAGAACATGTGACGCGGCAATCACCCAAGGGCTAGAGCAAGAGGCAGGTGCCTGAGCCACCAGAAGAATCATTTCAAAGGAACGAGGGTGAGACAGCAGGTTGCGGATGAGGTTTGTGGACCAGAGACCTAAAGCAGATCCCTCTAGAAGCCTAACTATAAAGGAGAAGTGGGGAAATGATTATAACTAATTAATTAGACAAGGACAAAGAAATGTTTTAATCTTCTAATGAGGGAGACAAATACAATCTCTATCTATCTATCTATCTATCATCTATCTATCTATCTATCTATCTATCTATCTATCTATCTATCTATCTATCTATCTATCTATCTATCTATCTATCTAGTATAAGTGTGTGCGACCATGAGCCCAGTCTGGTTTTAGGTGGTTGTGGAGATTTGACTCAGGCCTTCACCTGTACTAGGCATGCCCTCTACTAACCAACCTACACCCTCAGTTCTTGTGTACATGTTAAATGTTAGAGTGGAGAAGTTTGGGCTGGAGCAATGGCTCAGTGGTTAAGAGCACTTCTTGCTCTTTCAGAGGATCCTGGTTCAATTCCCAGCACTCACATGGTGGCTCACAACACAACCTTCTGTAACTCCAGGGGACTTGATGCCTTCATCTGAGTTCCGTGTGCACATACATACATGCATGCAGGCTAAACAATAAAACAATAATATAAATAATAATAATAAATCAATAATATAAATAAGTCTAAAAATCAAAACAAATAAAAGCCCCCCTACAAAATAAAAAACAAACAAAAAGCCATACATAGTATGTGGTTGCACACATCTATAATCCTAGCACTTGGGAGATAGAGGCAGAAGGATGAAGAAATTTAATATCATCCTTAGCTACATATCAAGTTTGGCAGCAGCCTTGGCTACATGAGTCTCTGTCTCAAACACAGAACAGAAAGTATGGAGACAGTTCTGTTTGCTGCCCCGCGTGGCTGTGAAGCTGGGAGGGACTGTGAGGAAGTCTCCTGATGTGTGGCTAATTGGTCTTTTTGACTCTGAATCGCATCTGCTTCCTGAGTTCTGCCTGTCCACCTGTCCATCCCTCTCCCATGTGCATTTTCCGTCTTGTTCCTTATTTCTATTGGCTGAGCAAGTGGGCATTGCCGCTGGGGCTCTGGGACTACCGGGTTCTCCCTGACTCCTTTCGCATCCTTCTGGGATTGCTAGTCCCTGGGGGCCTGGTATCTGCGGGTTCTGCATTCAGTCCTCACAATTGAATGGGAGTAGTTTGCTTCCTTTCATAACTCAAATACAGACATTAGCCTTCAATCACACATATGTGCAAATAGAAGCTCTCACATGTTGGGAAGTTCAGTGGCCCACGATAGCAAGGCCTGACTGGGAGTTGAGGGCATGCATGTTTTGCCAAGGAAGTGACATTTGAGCCCAGATCCAAAGCTCCAACTGAACAAAGAAGATAAGGAGGAGGGAGGATGGTCAGAGTGGCGAAAGCAGAGGCTCTGAGGCTTGTGTTACTCCGTGGCGGTGACGTGAGAGAAGGAAGGAAAGCAGGAAATGGGGCTGACAATATGGCAGGGCTTACGTCCCTGGGCTCATTGTGGTCCTCAGAGATAATCCTAAAGATAATTGTTGAAAAGCCTCAAGGCTTTCGGCTAGGAAGGGAAGCAATCACATTCGCCCCCCTTGAGAAAGTTCTCTGGCTAATTGAAGACCAGGCTTGATTTCTATCTGCAGGAAAATGACCACGTGTCTGTGTCTGCAACCAGGTTTGCTGAAGTTTCCTGATGGGCGAAGATTACAGTTTCTTAGCTGATTCCATTCCTAGGCCACAGGATCTCATGGACCGTATCCCATGGACCATATCCCAAAGGGCCTGTTGAAGCTTTCTTCCATCAAGATGGTTTGTTGCTTTCCTTTTGGCTAGTGATGTTCAAAACACACCAAAAGTTAGATTGATGCAGAACCAGTGTTTACTGTGTAACGAAGGGCTGGAAAATGTATAGCCTATATGTGTTAGTCATACACACACCATACACACACACTTGTGCGCACACACACACGTGCACACACACACACCCCTACAACATCAGTGTTATAATGAGCATCTGGATTTTTCCCTTTCCCTTTTCTTCAGATGAGTAGGAAATACTGAAGAGTGCTAGCCACCTTCTGACAGATGCTGCGTCCGAGGACCTCAGGAGTCCTTTCTTCTGATGACTATTGCGTCCAGATCTACAGTGTCACAACCACTTAACCACCAGTGGCATTAAATTATCCAAGAAACACATCGGTAGAATGGTTTCCCTCTGCTGTATTTACTACTTACCAAGTAGGAAGCTGGGACTAATGCTCACGAAAAATAACATTTAAAGTCAAGGATTGAAGGTCAGCTAGACACTATAGTTAAAAAGAGTACAGAGACGTCAAGTGACTGGAGATCGAGAGGTTATGTGTGTGTGCATGCATGTGTGCTGGTGCATGTGGGCACATGATTATGGCTAGCTAGAAGTTGACATCTGAACTGAGGTCTTCCTCAGTGGCTTTCCACCATAACATTATTTACTATTTTGAGACAAGGTCGCTCACTGAACCTGGAGATCATGGCTGGGCTGGCTAGCCTGACAGCTATAGAAATCCTCCTGCCTCCGTCTTTCCTAAACTGGGATTTATAGGCATGCTCTACTATGTAGGTTTTTTTTTCCTGTTGGTTTTAGAGGATTTATTTAATGTGGCTCACAGTTTCAGATCTTTCCGTCCTTTGACTGCTCTGCGCCACTGCTTCTGGGCTGTGGCAAGGCAGAGACACAATGTCGGGTGGGCGGGGACATGGCAGAAAAATGGCCTATGGGAAGGAGACAGGAAGTGGCAATGGCAGACATCCCCTCCAAACCACGCCCCCAGTGACCCACTTCTCCAGACAGACCCCAAACTCTATTTTTAGTACCTCCCAATAATGCCATCACAATAAGAAGCTACCAGTGGGATTAATCTAGTTAATCAATCTCTGTTGTTGGGGGAGGCTTCCATCCTGCCCGGTCACACAATAAACACACAGAAACTATATTTTTTGTAATATTATTTGGCCAATAGCTTAAGTGTATTTCTGGCCAACTCTTCTATCTGAGATTAACCAATTTCTATTAATCTGTGTATTGCCACGTGGCTGTGGCCTACCAGCAAGGTTCCGGTGGGCTCCAGCGGAGGCTTCTGTCGCTGGCAGGGCTACATGGCTCCTCTCTGACTCCGCCTATCTGAAAAGTTTTAGCGAAGGTAGAAAAGACCTGAACAAGAGCCTTTGAGAAGTGGAAGGAAGGAACGCCACGCTTGGGGTAGATGAAGCTCTCAGGATCCATCCACGGCCCTTGTCGGTAGCATGGCCTCACTTGCAGTGAGGGCCCAGACATGTTCAGAGAAGAGCACATTCCAACAGTGCCCGCCTAAGCAGAGTGTGCTGTGAGCCCCATCCCAGGACTGCAGCCCAGCCTCCCCTGCTCTCCACCACTCTTCCTACCCTGCAGCATGGTTGCCAGCTGGCTGGGGGAGTGGGAACATAGCTCCTATAATTCTGCTCACAAAGGGCTCCTGCTGGGAATTGGGAAAGGTTTTAATTACAGAAAGCAAGCCTTTCATTCCCAGCCCCCTCCAGTTCCCTGCTTTCTTCCCTCCTTCTTCTTAAGCAAGGTTTTGCTGTGTAGTCCAGGCTGGCCTTGAACTCAGTGACACCTCACCCTCCTGAGTGCTGGGATTTCATTACCACATTTCGCTCCTGAAAAAAAAAAAAAAGTTCTGATAAAATGACGTCACTGGTTGAGAAGCGGAACTTAAATTTTAGACACAACCAAAACGTGGAATAAACAGAATTCGTGGCCTATATTCAGAAAGTAATTTAAATGTTGGCTTTTATCACCCATTTAAAAATCTGCTTAAAGGCTGGGTATAATGGCACATGCCTTTAATTCCAGCACTCAGGAGGCAGAGGCAGGGGGATCTCTGAGTTCAAGGCCAGCGTGGTCTACAAAGTGAGTTGCAGGACAGCAAAGGCTACACAGAGAAACCCTGTCTCAAAACACACACACACACACACACACACACACACACACACACACACACACACACACACCTGAGCACAGTGAGTTTACACCTGTAGTCCTGGCACTTAGGAAACTGAAGCATGATTGTTGTGAACTTAAGGCCAGCTTGGATTACAGCATGAAACCTGTCTCAAAAAATACAAAACGAAACAACAACAACAACAAAACACCCTCCCAAAAGTGCTGGAGAGATAATGCAGACAGAAAAACCTCTTGCTGCTGAAGGCTGGCAACCCGAGTTCAAACCCTACACCCATGTAAAAGACCAGACGTGGCAGCACACATGTGTAATCCTGGTATTCCTATGACAAGATGGAGAGACTCATCCCGAAGCTCGCAGGCCAATAGCCTAGGGTCTGCAGTGCAGCGGATGGAGTAGGAGAACCCCTGTCTCCACGAGATGGAAGATGGGAACCTGTCCCTAAAGGCAGCCCTCTGACGTCCACACTTGCGCAGTGGCACATCCATGCCTAAGTAACTAATCAACTAATTACAAAGATTTTAAATGCAACAAGAGGGGATGTAACTCGGAGGTATAGTGCTTGCCTGGCATCCTTGAGACCCTGAGTTCAAGCCCCATCACTGATCAAAGATGGAGGGGCTAGGGTTCTAACTCGGTGATAGAAAATTTTGCCTAGCATATTGGAGGCTCTGGGTTTGATACTCAGCCGGGGGAAAAAAAAGTTGGGATCGCTCCAGGATTACAAACTCACAAAAATATCTTTGCTCTCTTATTAAGTTATATGGGAACACAGCTGAACCGTATTTTCCAATTAAGGGATAAGACAATATGCTTAATTAAACTAAATAACAATGATCAATTTAGTCTCAATAGAATTTAGTAAGTAAATGTTGTATATAAGGGATTTAGATATAAATATATATAAAGACCTGTTACATCATAATGATGGCAGTCATCCAGTTAAGAAAGGGGTGGGAGCCAAAGATTTGGGTCAGCGATAGAGCGCTGAAAAATCTCTGGGTTCAGTTCTGAGCACCACAGAAACAAAACTCAAAAAACCAGAGTAAAAGCCTGAACAGATTTTGCCCTCTCCCCCCCCAGCATTATCTTTTCCCAGAGATAAACAAGTCGCCAATAAAACACAAGAAGAGATGTCCAGTATCTCTGGCTCTCAGGGAAACACAGACCAGGACACATCCAGTAGACCGGCTGGAGTGGTAATGAGCGATAATAACGAGGGTTAGTGAAGAGGTGGAATCCTCAGTCACTGGCGGTGGGAATGCAAAATGGTGCCACCGTCTGGGAACACAGCCCGGAATTTCTCAGAGGGCTAAACACAGAGCTCCCATGTAACCCTGCAATTCCACTCCCAGGTATGTATACCTGAGAGACAGGAAAGTGGACGTCTATGCCGAAGCCCGGAGGTGAGTGTCTATGCCATTACTCACAGCAGTCAGTACGCAGAGACCTGGATGCTCGTTAACTGAGTGGATCCACACAGCACAGCCTATCCACAACAATGGGATATTATTTAGCCATAAAAAGGAACCGAGGGGGCTATAACATGAATAAACCTTGAAAACATTACACCATGAGAAAGATGCCAGCTACAAAAGATCACAGATTGATTCCCCCTATCTGAAATAACTGGTGTAGGTCAGTCTGTAAAAAACACAGGAGCAATGGTTGCTTGCGACTATGGGCTTGGGGAGCAAAGAGAACCATTTATGAGGAGTGACTACTTGCTCCAAAGAGACCGTGGTGCGTTGGCAGGTTCTTCAATATCCTATATACTATATACAATATACACTATCAGCAGGGATAGAATGCTGTATAGAATTTTAGTATTGTTTTGGGGGCAGTCTCATGATATAGGTCAGCGGCAGCTGGCCTTGAATTCCTGATAGGGGCTCTCGCCTGATTACAGATGTGTGCCATGAGTAGACTGGCTTACACTGACGTTTAAACTGTTTATTCATGGTCTCGTGATGTCAGGGAAGAGCTGGTGGGAACATCGCCTTTTCACTTCAAGACTTTTATAGTATTTCATATCAAGACTTTTTAAAAAAGGACAACTGTCGCCTTTGCTCTCAACCCTGTAGGTGGTCCAACTAGGTGATCTGAGATCATTAATGTTATATATTGTAAAACAACAACAACAACAACAAAACTGTTGTACAACACGGGGAAGGTGGAAAAAGTTTGTCTACTAAATATTTTGTTTTTCTTTTTCTTTTTTCCTTTTGGGTTTTTGAGACAGAGTTTCCCTGTATGTTCTGGCTGTCCTGGAACTCGATCTATAGACCAGGTTGGCTCAGGGATCCGACTGTCTCGGCCTCCTGAGTGCTCCTATTAAAACTGTGAGCCTCCACCTCCTCCTGGGCTTGTCTAGTAAGTTTCAACCAAGACGCTCTCTTTTCAGGCTGCCTGCTTGCTCTGCTTCTGTCCTGCAGAGAAGCGAACCAACACCACTTTGGAGTCTGTGTTTCAATGTGGGACAACTTGGCGACAGAAATAAAATGACAAGATTCCTTTTAGGAGCAAACACAGCGATGAGGCTAACGTGATCTTGAGTTTAGGGATATTGGACCCAGTCTCCTCAGAAGCTTCTTAGCAGGTTTGAGTTAGTTGGGTGTCTCATGATTATAATCTTCCAGACCCTGGAATCAGGCTTCTAGGTTCTAGTAACCTAACTCAAACGCTGTCTGCCCATCTGACAGGACAGGATAGGGAGCCACTAGGGAAACACCTAGAAAAACTCTTGAACCATTCTGAAGGTCTTCGGAGTTTGTTTGTTTTTTCCGTTCCCTCCTCTGTACCTCATATTCCTAGTTGGCAGCCCAACTCCTGGCTACTCGGTGACAGATTGAGGTCTTCTTCTAAGTCCACCAAAGCATCCCAGAAATCTTGGCAGCCTTGCAGGGAGAGACCATGGGGACCTAGACAGGCCGCCCGGCATTCCCCGGGTAGCAAGACAGAGACTCAGCCGCCACCGCGGCAGCACAGGTGAGCAGCCGGATCCGGGTTGGCCCCGTTGTCCCGGCGCCTCCGCCTCCGCGGCGCCCTGCTGCGTCCCACTCGGGCCTGGGTTGCGGGCGGGGACTGGGCCCCGGCGCCCTGGGGCTCGGCTGGGGGCGTGGGCGGCGTCCCGGGAGCTCGGGGACTGCGCGATCGCCCCAGCAGAGTGCGCTGGGGCGCCGGGTGGCCGCCGGCCTGGGCGCGGGGCGCGGCGGGCGCGGGAGCCGCAGGTGGTTCCCGGCCGGCCTTTCTCCTCCCCCTTCCCTTTCTCCCGCCGCCCTCCCTCGCGCCCGTGTCGGCGGCACTTCCCCCGCTTCCTCCTCCCTCTCCAATCCGGAGGGAGGGAAGGAGCGGCGGCGCTTTCCTGCCTGCAAACTTCCAGCGGGACCCACCGCGGCCGCCCGGGAACTGCTCCGGGAACTTCCTCGGCCGCGCTGCTCCGGAGCCTTGGAGGAGGCACGTCGCCGCGCGGCACCCAGCTAGGGTCTCCGAGCTGTCCCCGCGCCTCCTCGCCGCCCGGCCTCGTCCCCGCAGCAACTGCCCCGGGACTCTCCTTTGTGTTGGATGCGGACCCGCGCCCATCGCCCTCGGGGCCCGGCGTGAACGCCGTGATCGCCGGTCCCCCGGCGCCCCGCGTGCCCAGCCATGCCCTTCCACCAACGGAGCGTGGAACCCGCGCGGCTGCGCCGGCCCGAGGAGACGGCGGTGGCTCGGGCTGCGGGCGCGCCGCTCTTCCGCTCGCTGGAGCAGGTCAGCTCGCACACTCTGGTCTGCCTGCTCGCCCAGCTGGCCGACCTGTCGCGCTGCGCCGGGGACATCTTCGGGGAACTCGAGGGCCTGGCGGCCGCGCTGGGTCACCGCACCGCCGAGCTGCACCGCCGCCTAGACGCCCTGCATGCCGCGACCGCGCGCCTGGATCACCGGCGAGTGAAAATCCGTGAGTGGCTGATGGCCCCGGGGAGGGCACCGCGGCACCGAGGCGCTTGGCCAGCTGCTGCCTCCCGCCCCCTGGCGGCCCAGGCTCAGCTCTCCGGCCTCTTTGGGAACCCATAGGTGTCGGGGGACTTGGATGGGAGGCAGTGCAGGTGGCAGGAGCGTGTGGCGATTCTGGCTTCCTTAGATTGCTTTGGTGGAGTGGGTGCGGAGTGTGGCTTTTTGGGATAGCTCATCCCACTGCTCTGTCGGTGGGAACTTGACAGCAGCCACTCTAAACGTAATGGTATCCCGTCGGTCAGGGGATATAGGCTGGTTATAGCGCAGCTTCACACTTTAGGAGGATCTGTTTGTGGTCAGTCTCTGGGGACTGCAGCGAGCATTGGGGTGGCTTGTCACCACTGCCTGCTGCATACTGTACAAGTGGTCTTACCTACAAAGAAAAGCGTGCTGACTTGAAGATTTTTTTTCTTTTGGCCTTGAAGTTTATTTCCTCCCTGACTGACCTTCCGCTCTTTATTATTTTTTAAGACCTTGACCTTGAGCTGGGATTCTGTCTTTGTTTGGCCCTCTTCACCCCCCCCCCCAAATTAAGCCTATGTCCTGACATAGTAATCTCCAAGTGCGCATTTCATTTCAGCGGCTTTAACTGGCTCTGATGAATGAAGCGACTGGAATTTCCTGCTGGCCCAAACAGAGAAACTTTCAGTGTGATGTCTGGGTGGTTTCTCCCTTTTCAGTACGTGGCCTCGGTCATAACACTTAGTGCAAGGAGTAAATTGGGGATGGTTGATGGATTGCAGGGTGGGAGGGGAGATACTGCTGTAACAACCCACGCCTAGGTGTCGGCAGCTCTGCATGAAAAATGGCCTCACTTAGAATCACTCCAGACGTAATCCGGAGTAGCTTGTTTTCCAGCTTGCTAGAGAACCTGAGTCAGGCTTAACTATCTTGCAGCCTAGGAGTTCAGATATTGACGAATTTAAACGTACTGCGTGCCCCTGAAATGCGTCTTTCCAGATTGTGCATTTATATGATAGCTTTACAGTTTTGGTTGGCTCTATTTAGAGTGTGTTAAAAACACATCCATGGCAGCTTCTAACTCAGGAGAGTAGGAGGGGCTGAGGGGGTCAGGGAGTCAAAGTGATCTAATAATTTGTTGGGGACAAAATCAGATATATTTTGTCCGTGTGAATGAGGACCTTGTGCATACAGATATTGTATCCTAGGGGCCCTTCACTGTCTACCTGGTAATCCTGTTGGTTTCCGTGCCCTTTCCGTATAGGGTGTGTGTACCTGGCTGAAGGAGAATTTCATCCCTGACGCGCAATGTGGTGAGGCAGATCTAGCTGCTGGGTGAACAAGTCTAAGGGAAGTAAACAAACCAAGGGGACACACTCTAGTGCAGGGAATGGAGTGTTGCCCCATCCTGCAGTTGCTAGATAAGGCCAGTTACCATTTTTAAACTAATTTTTAAGAAAAATAAACAACATTCCTTGATGTTGAAACTTTCTTTGCTAGTTTCTTTTGCATTTAAATACATTTTCCGCTGCTCCCTGTCCTCACCTTCCTCCTTCCATGCCTCCCGTCCTCTTGAACACACAGTCTTTGGTCGTCCAGACTGGCCTTGAACTTGCTGTGTGGCGTCTGCGGGCCTTGAGCTCTCCATTATTCTGCCTCCAGCTCTCAAATGTTGTTACTCGCAAAGATGTCGCCTCCAGCTCCCTTTCTTCTCTTTGGATATGCGTGTATTCCAGTGAGCTATATTGCCCAGCAGTCCCCTGAATTCTCCCTGAAGTTGTCCTCGAAGTGACTGAAATAACTCTCTTCAAAGTGTTCGTGAGCATGTTAATCCTAAATGGCTTTAATTTCTCACCAGTAATCCCGGTTGATCATCTTCATGGGCTTTAACAAAAATAATTACTCCTGAGAGACCATAGGTGTGCATACATACAAAAAGACGCGTTATTAAAGACATCATTAGATTTGGCCCCATCTTTGTATAAAACTTTTTTTGTATGCTAATAAGCCATGAGTCACCTATACATTCATTCAATTTAGCATCTGCAGGAGAATTTGAAAGCAACACCTTGCCTAACACAGTGGCTCACACCTGCAATTCCAGCCTTGGAGAGTGACTGGCCTTGAATCCAGAATGCTAGGAGTAAAGGTGTGTGCTTTTATGCCTGTCCTTGAACTCTGAGCGCTAAGATTAAAGGTGTACACCGACGTGTGCCTGACTTCTTGGTCCTTTTAAACCAGGTCTTCCAAGTCATATCCTCCATTGTGGGCCTTTGCACTGGGAATTTACTATAAGATGCCTCCGATTTCATAAACGCGTAACCAGAGAAGAAATCCAGTCTTGAAAGCCATTTGTCCTGGCTGAGGGCTAGAGCCCATACCTCTGATTGACTTGCCTGCTGTCCATTGTGTGTGTTAGGAGTGTTTGGAAACAGAGATCAAAGTGTAGACACATTCGATGAACTGTCTTTGGGCTGCCTGTGAACCTTAATTTTATCCCTCTGGTAAGACAAACCTGTTAATGAGTCTCCTGTGGAGAAAGTAGCAGTCTCCCAGTGCACAAACACTAAGAGGGCCCGGGAGCCAGTCCATTCATGGCTGCCGGTGTCTGCTACCATACGAGATGGCAGTGGAGCAGTCCGAACAACACAGACTGTTTGGGGCACTAGTTCAGTGTGTTAGGCTTCTGGGCCAGCCCTGCCGGCTCTAAAGGTTAGGAGGAGGATTTCTTCAGGCTTGCCTTTCTTCAGATGTCATAGGTTCTACAAAGCTCAAGTTAGGAAAAGCACATATTCCTGCTCGTTCATGTCCAGTGAAGACGCCTCTGATGCTATCTGATGATCCTGTGTTGGGGAAAGTGACCCCACAGATCCAGAATGGACTCTCTGTTGTCAGCTTGACTTGATGTGCAATTAACTAAACCCCAGTAGCTGGGTACACCTGCGAGACTTTTTTTTTTTTGAATTAAATCATTTGAAGTGGGAAGACCCACTTTTAATCCAGATCTTTGGAGGTGGGAAGATCCACCTTTAATCTGGGCCACACCTTCTGTGGTTTGTTCATGCTCTTCACTGGCGACTTCATCCCTTCACCGGCTTGAGAGCCTACTTCTTTGGGATGCTGGCATCTACTAAACACCAGCTGAGACATCCAGCCTAGTGGACTGAGTAACTACCGGATCCCTGGACTTTCTATGGGTAAACAGTCATTGTTAGACTAGCTGGAACACAGCCTACACACTAGTCTAATAAACCCTGTGTGTGTGTGTGTGTGTGTGTGTGTGTGTGTATGTGTGTCTTCATTCTTAACACTGCATTTATAAGGGAACGAAGTTGGGTCTTTTACACCTGCTCCCTTCAGCCATCCAACAGTTGTTCAGAGTCAAGTATGGTGGCATGTCTGTTTTTATAGAGCTTAGCGCAGTGACTAGAAGGTGATATTAATACATATATATTTAAATTTTTAAAAATGACATTTAATGTGTGATTTCGTGTGTGAGTGTGTTTGTGCGTGCACGTGCATGTGTGTGCACATGGCCATGGCACATGTGTGGAAGCCAGAGGACAACTTACTGCAGTGTTTTCTCCTTTCACCTTGTGGGACCAGGGGTCAAACTCAAGGATTGGCAGCAAGTCTTCTTTACCCATTGGACCTTCTCACTGGTTCTATTTCTATGAAGTAGGACTTAATTAGTTTGCTGCTGACTAAATACGGCTTTATTGAAAATAGGAACAACAGGCAGAAATATGAATTGTTATGTCTGGGCTCTGTTAGCAATCAAGAGACTTTACTGGGCAGAGGTCAACAGGTACTCCGTTAGCGGCCATGTCTTATTAAGGTCTGTGGAAGTATGTCTCCTCCACCCCCTGAACTTTGGATTTGATTTAATGCATGTTAGGAAGTGTTCTACTCCTCAGCTGTATCCCCAGACCACCACCCCCTTTTATTTTTAAATTCCGAGACAGCATTCTATAGGTTGTTCATGGCCTTCAGTCACTCTGTAGCCCAGACAGCCTTTGAACTCAACCATTCTCAAGGCTCAGACTCCCAAGTCGCTGGAATTATAGGCCTGTGGCTTTGCCTCAAAAATAGTCTAACTGGGATACAATTCCCTGGACTCACCCATTCCCAGCACATAGGCCAGTGGTTTTTGTTCACTCAGAGATGTGCAGCCTGACCACGGTCTATATTACACATTTCTATGGTCCTGAAAGAAGCCCATCACGGGGAGCCATACTCCCTCTCCTCTCGACCTTCCTACCTCCGGGCCACCGCAAATACACTTTCTGCCGCTGTAGACCTGATTGCTCTGAACATTCCAGACAAGTGTACTCATGCTGTCTGCCGTCTTTGTCCAGCTTCCTTTAAGAAGCACAGTGTTCCCCAGGCTCACCATTTGCTGCTTTCTGTAACCAACAGTCACCGTCCCGTGGAGTATGCCAGTGTCTTAGAAACCTGTCATTCGGATTTCTTATGTGCTTCCAAAACCACGTGAAATAGAAAGGCGGGGCTGTATTTTAAAGCCCATTTTATAGATGAAGAAATGAAAGTTCTCGGACTCGTAAAAGGCGCTAATAAATAGGACAAAGTCTCATGATTTCTGCTCTGTCTTAAAAGTCCTTCCTGGG